CTCCATTCTCGAAGCCAGCCTCCTGGTTAGTATTGCTGTGTTGTGCTGTGCTGTGCTGTGTTGTACTGTACTGTATTGTGTTTGTGGGGGAGCTCAGGATTCTTTTACCTGTGTCCCCACTCCATTTGCTTTGTGGTTTCCTTTTGTCCCTTGCCTGCCTGGCAGCACCTTCTGCTTCATGCCATGTAGCTGTCTTCCAATTCGGGAGGGGAGCATTTGCCACCCCCAGTTCCATTTCATTCCTACTCATGCCCCAGAGTGTGGTCATTTAGGATGGGGTTCTCTGGAGTTGGGGATGGGAAAAGTGCCATTTTCTTTGTTGGTGGTGTTTTTTTTTTTTTAAATCAATGTCAATTGATCATTGTCACAGTGTTGTTTTACATGTGTGGCATACTGTGCTGGATTTTTCTCTTTCTTCTGTTAAAAGGTAAATGTATTTATGAACTAACTTTTCATTTTCAGAATTTTATAGGTAGTTTTTACAAGTTGTGTTAATTTGACTTTTATGCCTGTACAAATTGTGTGTGTGTGTGGGGGGTGAGTTCATGTTAATTTAGAAGGATGTTTTGTTGGAGCTGAGCACTGAAGTCTTGTTGCTGTATTCTTGCAGTATGTATATTTTAGATGAATGTTTCACGAATGAAGATCTTTTGAATGACTACTTAGGGAAGAAGAAAAAAATCTTTTAGTTATAATGATTGGGAGCGCGCGCGTGTGTGCGTGCATGCGTGTGTGTGTGTGTGTGTGTGTGTGTGTGTGTGTGTGTGTGTGTGTGTATGTATGTTAGAAATCTCCTCAATATTGTTCTTTATGAAAATACTCTTCAAATGTCAATGTTGACATAAGAAATAAGCTTTCAGCCTCACCTACTTGAACACACACTTGTAGCAGGTAGATGGGAGCCAACAAAGTTTACTTCCTTCTTGACAGATGAAATCGTTTTTAATGTCATTCTTTGAAGGGGGTTTTTGTCTCTGTGGCTGTCTGTCAGTAAGTTCCAGCATTTTTCCTTTGGGTAAGCGCATGCAATTTATGGTTTCATAGTCATGAATCATGAGTTTCATATAGTGCCTCACCATCCATTTTGGGTTTTTAGAAGAGTGTCAAATAATTGACTAAATGTTGCTTTTATTGTCATTTTGAAAATTGCTTTTATGAGGAGAATGTTTGCACAAATGTGAAGAGTTTGTATTATATTGGTTAAGTGTCAGTTCCAGCACAGCTGAAGTCACAGAATAATCTCTCTTCCAGACGCTGAACCCGAAGTGGAACGAAGAGTTTTATTTTAGAGTAAGTGTTTCTTTCGTTTTGTAATAATTATTATTGATATCCAGATTGATATATCAAAATAGACTCATGGAAAGAAAACTAGATAGCGTTTTAAGTAAGAAATTTCTCTTAAGACAGGAAATGTTCGGGTTAGGTAGACTTGGAATGTGTCCCAAATTTTTGAAAATCCGTGGAGGTTTCATTTGAAACTGTAGACGAGAAATAAAAATGGTCGACAGGATATCATGTTATTTTTTTTAACTCAAACTTTTCTTTAAAAATAAGAAGAAAATAAATCTAGTTAACTTGAGTTGTGGGTTTGTTTGTCTTACAACCTTTAAAAAATAAAATTTGAAGAAAAAGGCAAAAAGACAATGCAATTTAAAAACAATAGTTGAATGATTTCTATGTGATATGGATTATGAATTGCTCATCCAGAGTAGAGAGATAATTAAAAGGAAACATAAATTACCAGGGATGAGGACAGGAGTAGTTCAGTGGTAGAGTACTTGCCCAGCATTCTAGAAACCCTGTTTGATCTCCAACACTGCCTCTTCACAAAAGACAGAAAACTACCAGTTATGTTCTGGTTAGAGGGGAAAGATTTCTAATTCAGACAGCTAATATATGCAATTACTTTCAGTACCACCGAATGGAAGAACATTCCCTCAGCCTCCAACACCCCGTTTAGAACAGCTGGATACTGAAGGGATTTCTGTGAATTAATGGAGAATGGTGCTTACTGGTATTTGCCAGCAAATATTTGGAAGTATTAAGTCCCTCAGCCATCTAATTGGAAGAGAAGAAGAAGGCCTTTTCCTTTTAAAAATGAAAACTGGCATTGTCTGTACACCTGTGATGCTAAAAAGACTCATATCCAAACTGTTCCAGCTTAGGCCTTCTTGGGACTGTATACTAAGAACCACAGGGCCAGTAGAGCCCATGGCCCCTGTCCTGCCTTCTTCCTTTCAGCCATGATTGGATTTTCTGTTCTGAGAACTTGGATGACTTACCCTGCATCTGTTTTCTGTTATGTTCAGAGCTGGAATAGCACTCTGAGCCTTTAACACTTGGTAGATCCCATGTTCAGCCTCTACCAGATATAGTTTAGATAACTTCGTGAAGGACTGAAAAGCTGTTGGGGCTGAGAAGAGTTACTGGATCTTTATTTATGCCCTAGTACAGAAAGCAGATTTCTTGTGAAGCTAAATTATTTGCTCTCCTTCCATTTGAACCACATTGCATGGATTTTATTATATAAAAAACTTTTTCAATAACGCTTACCTGTAGGCATATTTCTGTTTCTGTTTTTCTCCTTTAAAAAGATCTTTGTTTTATTCCCTGCACAATTTCTTATTGAATGCCTCTTATGTGCCTGTTCCTACTATAGACTGTTGATGCATTTTTGATAGGTGTGAGACCCTTTGCAGAATGGGTGGACAGACAGTCATCCATCTGCTTGTTCTGTTGCAAAACTGTCTGCAAACACAGGGCCAGGAGCTCTAGTTGAGCACATGAACTCTCCGTGCTACAATCAAATATAATTTTATTCCATGTTCCATTAGGAGAAAAAACATAACATTAGACCCAACTCACATGCCTGTCATTACCACTCACAGCCTTTGGGAACTTGAGGACACCAAACATTCGCAATCTCTTGGATTCCTTTTCCCCAGAGTAAGAAAGAAAAGTCATTTCAATGTAGATGTTTCTTCCCTGGTTGACAGACGAGAGTGTAAATAGCCATACCTGATGCCGTGCCTGGCAGGATTGCTAGTTAGTCAGTGGCACCTGAGTCCACATGATGAAATATAGGTTATTTGGGTGAGTTAAGGTAAAGAGAAAGAAACAACAAACACTGACAACCTCCAGGGCTGTGGCTTTGCACTAACCCAGAGCAAGTCCTGGTTGCTCAACATACTGGCTTGTGGGCTCCTGGGCAAATTGCTTCACCCACTTGGTCTCAGTGATTTCTGTGTGAAAATGAAATGATAGTTACACACTGCTGGGTTGTTGGGAGAATTAAATAAGGCACTATAGTGTTAGTAGTTCAGGAAATAATAGTTGGAGGTATGGCACGGTGGTATATAGCTGTTTGCATGTTCATCATTGCCATCTTTAGGCCAGTGAGCATAAGACCTTAATCTACAGATACGAGGATACCTTTGTAGAACAGATTGGGATTCCTTTAAGACTGTTAAGAAACAGCAATAAAGGTATTGTCTTTTTCTGGTATGCCTAGATATTCGGGGTAGAATAATAGTGGATAAGCAGGGTAGTCATTGATATACAGTGGAATCCAGAGTGCTAGAAATCATCCCTAATTCTTCTTGTCTCTTAGAGCAAATTCAAAGTGATACCTGTTGATTTTTGAAATGTGGTTTCTGTCCCTTTTAGGTAAATCCATCTAATCACAGGCTCCTATTTGAAGTATTTGATGAGAACAGATTGGTAAGTCCTTGGTTTTGAGTTTTGCTTTCTTTCTTAAAAACTGATTTTTTCTAGTAGTGCTTTGAGGTCCTTTGGGTCACTCACAGTGGTGTGCGTGCCCCATTCGACTTCTCAATTCCGGCAAATATTTTTGTGTTGCTAGGACAGAATATTTATTTGGGTATGTGTGTATTTTTTATAGTTAATAGTAATAAAAGACACCTATGATAGCCTCATCCCAAATACCTTATTATTATGCTTTGTTTAGGGAACACAGGTGGGAAGGTGCATCTGTAAGGGTGCCATCAATCCTGTAACCAAGCCTCACAGCCATTGTAAAATATTCCTCAGTCTTACAGTCACACAGTGAGTTCACCAACAACTCCATGTTGATTGTCTCTGGGGAAACAAAAATCTAATTAGCAGTGTATAGTTAGAGCACATCTCCTTAGCAGTTGAAATCAAACAGTGGTCCCTTCTCAAGAAAAAAAAAATCTTAGAAAGTAACTTCAAAAAACTAGAATAAGGGCTGGGAGGCATTGCTCAGTGGTAGAGTACTTGCCTGACATGTGTGAGGTTCCATTCCCCATTCTGTAAAAGAACAAACCCATACATGAAATAAAACCCACCAAAAGCAAAATAAGAAATCCTAAAGACATGCTTGAAGATAGCTGATATAAGAAACATTTTTATAATACATATGTAATTGACATAGAATATACAGTACTAATGTGGTGGTCAGAGGACAGCTTTGTAAGGTTGGTTTTCTCCCTCCACCTTTATGTAAGTTCGGGGGACATAGGTGTCTTGGTTTGCATGTACCTCTGTCGGCTGAGACATCTCGCCAGCCCAGTGTTTTGTTTTCCTAAGTAACTAGAATGCTTACATCAAATTCTCATGAGCCAAGTGTTCCAGCTTTGAAAATGAACCCGATCAAGTTATGTGTAAGTCTTGAAAGCACACTCAGAAATGGGAATAAACTTCAGGGCACTTGACCGATTATACTCTTATTTAATGCCCTGCCTGAAAGGAATGTGTATTCATGAACTCATCTTTCTGCTGAATTCAATTGAAACGCCACAAATTGTAGAATAGCCTGAGGTTGACAGGAATTATCATCAAGAGGATTCTTGAGACAAAGTTAGGTACTCCCTTGTTATTAGAGATGAAACAACTCTGCTTCAGGGTCTGAATGTGATTAAATGCCAGTCAGGGGACACACAGTGTCAAACACCTGATCATCTCAATGTCAGGCTATGCTGGGGAATAGCCAGAACCTCTACCCTTAATAAAGAATTTTTAGGTGGATGTAATCTGATGTGTTTGGCTTTCGTCTCCCGAATGGAAAACTAGCAGATTGCACCTCCCAGCCTAGCATCTTTCCAGTTGTAAATATGGGATCATGGTGGCTTTGTTGAAATGGACTGTGTCTTGATGGGGGGAGGGGTCACTAGGGGCACTGAGTAACTCCCCTGTGAGTTGCTCAGTGTAGTCCCTGTCTCTCATACTCTCATCTAGCAAGAGTTTGTAACTGAACTAGTGACGTTCATTGAAATAGCGCAAGCAGTAAGTCTCTGCAGGGACAGAGCCTCCACAGTCTGATACTTACCTTCTGATTCAGGGAGGAAAGTCATTTTAAAATGAAACAATGGTCAAACTTGATGAGAAAGTACCTCTTAATGCTCTTCTACTAAGAGAAATTGACTGTTTAAAAAGTATTGGATTTCCCATTTGTGTTATTTAAAATAATGATTGCAGTTGAGTGACCTTGCCGTGGGTAAGAACTATTTTTCCAAACTAAAAGGGGGCTTTGAATACAAAGTATTTTTGTTTAAAAAGCTATGAGCTGTCATGTTTTACATGTTATGCTTTGCCTTGCCCCAGGCTGTCTGCTGTGCAGCTACTATGCATAGAATGCCAGTGGTGCGGGATGGTGGCTTTTTTTCTTTGTTGGCTGTTAATC